CAGAGATGATAAAGTAAATGTGGCATGATGTTAATAGCTGAGGAATCTTCTTATTATTTTTGGCGGCTGGCCAGTACAGGGATCAAACCCTAGACCTTGGTGTTTTCAGCACCACACTCTAACCAACTGAATTAACTGGCCAGCACCTAGAGGGGAAATCTGAATGAAGGACTTATAAGGGAGTTCTTGCAACTTAAATAATTTCAAGAAAGAGTTACTAAAATACTATAAACTTTACAATATAAGTAGATATCTTTATGACCTCAAGATAAAAAGAACTTCAAGACACAAAAAAGAACAAATATAAATGAAATAATGAATAAACTCAACTACATAAAAATATCATGAAGACAATTGTAGTGGGTTGATTTATGTCCCCTCCAAATTCCCTGAAGCTTGAATTGTGCCCCCACAAGTTCTACGTATCAGAAAGTTAGCCCCTTTGTTACGGTTAAGAGGGTGGGAAATCCTATTATGGTAATTGAAAGGTGGAGCCTTGAAGAGGTGATTGGATTGTAGGATTATGCTGTAGTAAATGGATTAAAAATGATCAGGGGCGTGGTTCTGAGGGCTTTAAGAGAAGAGGAAAATCTGTCTCTCTGCTCTCTCTGCTTCCACCATCTTGCAATGTCAGACCCGAGTCACTGTCGCCACCACCAGATGGACTTCCCAGCCTCAGAAACTAAGCAATAAATTTCGTTTTTCTTTATAAATGACCCAGTCTCAGGTATACTGTTATAGCAACACAAAATGGACTAATACAACAATAAACCCGTAAGGCAAAATTGGGAAAACCATTTGCAACACACGACCAACAAAGGATTATCATCTGGAATACGCGAAGAATTCCTACAAATAAATAAAAGAATTCAAAAAAACAAGAAACCAAACACAAAAATAGACAAAAATGTTGAACAGAAAATTTATAAGGGACGATGACAAATAAGCAAATAAAAATATGTTCAACCTCACTAGTAATCATAAAAATGCAATTGAAAACTAGAATGTTAAGATATTATTATTACACATACACCAGAACAGCAAAAATTAAAACAGCCCACAACGCAGTTTTAAAAACAATATGGCATTATGTAATAAAACTGAAGAAATACATACTCTATGACCCAACAATTCCTTTCCTATGTATGCTCCCTAGAGAAAATTCTTGTCCAGAAGACACATACATGAATGTTTGTAATAGCACTGTTCATAGTAGACTCAAACTAAAAACAACCCAAATGTCTATCAGTAATAAAATGGATAAACTGTGGTATATTAATATAATGAGCTACTATAATACACTTGACAGTATTGTAAACAAATGAGCCATAGTTACACGTATGAATGTGAAGAAATCACAAAAGTCTAATACAGAGTAAAAGAAATGTCACAAAAGAAAAACAGCATGATTGCATTTATGTAAAGTGCTAAATATAGGTAAAAAAAAAAAATTTTAATGTTGCATTTAGGGCTACATAATGAGTGCTAAAAGAAAAAAAACAATGGGAAAACAGAAAAGCAAGAGAATAATTATCAAATTTGGGACTGTGGTTATCCTAGGGCAGACAAGAGTGGAAAAAAAAAAAATGATGAAGCAGGGTACTGCTCCAGTATATGTGAATATTTTATTTCTCAACCTGAGTAGTAATTACATGGGTGTATAAAAATACATTTACATGTTTTATAAATTATCTATTTTTCCTAAAAGATGCCCAGTAAGGGGATCTTAACCCTTGACTTGGTGTTGTCAGCACCACGCTCTCCCAAGTGAGCTAACCGTCCATCCCTAAATAGGGATCCAAACCCGAGGCCTTGGTGTTATCAGCACCACACTCTCAAGTGAGCCATGGGCTGGCCCTTATAAAGCTTTTCTATAGGTATGATAAATATCACCGAAAACAGGGACAGAATGCCTATGACTCACCCCTAGAAACTTTAAAGGGCAACCTTTAAAAGAGAAAGAACAGCCAGTGAGGTAGGAAGAAAGTAAGTAGTGTGTGATGTTTCAGCAGCCAAGAGAAAAGAGGAGGGAATAGTGAACTGTGTCAAATAGTAGTGAGGGGCACAGTAGAGAAACTTTCACATAATATTGTTCTGTCTGATGAATTGCTTATCTTAGAATATAGACATTATTTTGTAATGACTGAGGACTTACTTATTAATAACAATGAAAAAGGATATGAACGTTCTGATATTTTATATTCAGAAATCAAAAATTTTAACCATATTTTTAAAATCTTCTTCTCCCATAATGCAGAACATTAATTACACCAAAACTATATATTCAATTATTGGAATAAGTGCAGTTCTACATTTGATAAGACAAATTTTGGCAAACTTGAATTTGCCCCATTTCCTATCACTTGTTATTGAAATGGTAAAGACAAAATCTTTGGCTCTGCCAATGAGCTAGTAACAAGTATAAAAAACAAAATTTTGGTCAGAGACCAAACCAGAAACTTTAACAATTTCAGGAACATGCACTGAATAATTCCCTTTTTAAATTATAAATCACAAATAAGCTTTTGCTTTAAAAGAGAGTTACAAACTATCTTCTAGAAAATTTTGGACAACCATGTAGTTGTCTTAACTCTTTAATTTTCTCACCTTTAAAAGAAGATGAACTACATACTACACCTAAGGTCTCAATCAGCAATATTTTATGGTGTTATTTAGGGAAGGAAAATTAATCACAAAGGGTAATAAAACTTAATACTTTGTCTAAATAATAAACCACACTTCTGAGAGACATAAAACCAAAAAGCAGCACATATCAATCTAATGATATATTCAAACTGGGCCATCCATTCCTTTTTTCATTATACAAAGGTTTACTTTAAATAAAAGAAGAGAAAAGAAGCTCTTTAAAGCTACATTTGCAGAGACAATTTAGAAGGATATACTTTTACTAATGCAAAATGCAACTTCACACAAACTTAAGTTGGAAGTTCTAATATATAAAAAAGAAAACAAAAATGAAATAAACCCTCTTCACTGAATAAAGAAAGAATATACCATTAATTTAGGCTTGTGGTTTCAAAACAAAGCTACTTAAAAAGGGAAAACTATTTTTCTAAAGAGCTCTCATGGTAAAGTTCTGTTGGCTATAGACAAATACATTTAAATCAATGTTAATTAATTTGAAGCAAATGGCTGTGGGGCTTATGAAGAATGAGTAATATTAATGTTAGAAAATAAATTTGTAACTCAATTTCAGATAGCCACTTGTTTTATCAACTAATTGAACCTCCTAAGATTTAATTAATAGGCTATTATTTTTGCTTTCCTTTAGAAATCCTGAGAGAACTCAAGAAAAAAAAGACTAACTGACACACATGGATTAATAAAACAAACTTCAGAAAACTTGGTTTGTGACCCAAAAAGGAACTACTCACCAAAAGCAGCAGCCATAGGGGGTTCAAGGGATGGCTGGCCATCACCAGTAGGAAGGTCTAAGCGAGTGAAGTCTCTGCTTTTGTCATTATTATATTTCACATTAAGGCTGGTGAGCTTGGAGAAGTCAATACGCAGAGTGCAGCATGCATTATAGATATTCTGGCCATCCAGAGCCTAAAGCATGTGAGAAAGGGACTGATGGTTTGGCAAGACAACAACACTGATACATCAAGGAACCTCTATTTTGACACAGAGTGGCAATCAGGTGTAAAGCAGAGAGCACTGGACTAAAAGCGAAAGACTTGGGTTTACTTTTACCTATGTCACTAACTGTGTGAGTCTAAGGGAGAAAAACAAAATCTCTAAGACTCCGTGTTCACCTGTAAAATAAGGGTAATAATAGCTATCTTGTCTGTGGTAAGACCAAATGACAGGTGAGAAATGTAAAAGCTTGGAAAACTATTGTATATTATAGAAATACTAATTATTATTATGATTATTTTACTTATGGCAAATTGTTTAAATATACTTTAATTTTACATTTCATCTTAATTCACTTTAGTACAGTTTATATAGATTAGAATGAAACAAAGCTTTTGCAAATGGTACTTGTCACAGCCACAATACATAAAATATTATCTACCATTTTTTTCTCTTGTAAATTTACTTTGTAATACTTTGAATAATAAACAGGGAAATTTGGAATCAGTTGTGACCAAAGATCAGTAACTCCTTTCTTTCTTTGCAAGAATAAAAATTTATCAACTGGTTATTTGTGGCCATTTATGACTTCCAATAAATGCTCAAATTTAAAAAAATAGATACCAGAAACCAAAGCACATAAAAATAAAATAAAACAAATATACTAAAAACCCGAATTTATAATAATAGTTATTGACAAATACGCCATCATAAAGGTACAAAATAATATATGCAGATAGAAGGTACAGCAAATATAAAAGCTACATTCCTAGTCAAGTGTCAGATGCTTTGTGGTACATAAGAGTACTATAAACTTTAGTCCCTATATTTGAGCAGAAATTAGAAATGATTCAGATACCAGTATAAGACAGAACTAGAGCTAAGGATAAATCTCAATACAACCAAACTGAAAGTGAAGTTTTGTATATTGTCAAGACAGTCAGGCATTCATGTACTAAAAAAAAATGACAACATGAATTGACAGCAGCATGTTTCCTAAGATTCAATGTCTTCACCAATTTAGAGCTTAACAGGAATGAACACTGAATACAGTTGCAAAAATAGTGAAATCAATCTTAGGCTGATTTAACCGAAGTAAATGGAGGCACAAGGATAAAGATAATTCTATCTCGTTAGTCAGACAACATCAGGAGTACAGTGCTCAACTCTAGACTTTAAATATGACAAACAGGAATGAGTTTCAGAGATCTGAGAGGTGATAGGAGATTTGAAACCATTTCATATAAAGAAAAAAGTAGTTATTTTTAGCTTAGAAAAAAACAACACATGAGCTATACACTTTAAAATGGTAAAAATGTGTATTTTACCACAACTAAAAAAAAAAACAAAACAAAAACACCCACATGGTAAACTGTAGCAAGAGAAGACATGATGGCTTTGTTCAGGTGTCACTTAAGTGAGTGATTAACAACTGAAAAATGAAAAAAAATCATAATTACCATTTTGGCATAATGTGCATTCACTGGGTCAGCATACTGAAGCAAGGCCTGAAACTGATTATTCTTTGTAAAGGTGATAATCTTCAAGACTGTGCCAAATTTAGAAAATATCTGGAAAAAATAAAGAAAATATTAAACTAATGTGCCTTTATAAATATAACTTGGCTCATGAATCCCATTTTTAAATGAAAATAATTTTCTCTATTAAAACTTGGTACTAAAATGATTTAAATCAAGCCTAAGATGTTAATGTCCCATGCATGTCTTAGAACAATGCCTGGTACACAATAGGCACTCAAATATTTAGCCTATTTTACAGCATGTATACATGGTAAAATATTAAAATAGGAGGCTATGATAGGAATTAATTGATGGTATGAGAAAATGGTGTTACAAAGCGTATGAATGGAAGTGTGAGGGCCATATGGATCAATTATTTCACCTTGTGAATCAACATCTACTTCTTGAGATTTTTGTAGGCACAGAAACTAGAAGATATCAACTAGAGGCTGCTCTATTAATTCATCAAATATTCATGGAGCACTGTTCTAAGCACTCGGACATCAGCAGTGAACAAAACAGAGACAAAAGTCTCCACCCTTATGAAGAAAGATAGACAAAAAACAAATAAGCAAACAAATGACATGATGTCTAGTCATAAGAAAGTGAAAAGAAAAAAATAAAAGAGGGGAAGGGATAAGAAAAGTTGGAGTGCAAGTTGGGATAGTGCAAATGTGCTCAAGGATGGCTTCTCTGAAGTGTCTTTGGAGAAGAGGAATAAAGTGAGGGGAAGGCTTCCTGACAGATCCCTAGTTCCCAGTGCTCTTATAATACTTGCTCCACATCAGCATCACAAAGGTTCATGGCCTGAATTACTAGCAACTATTTGTGAAAGACTAAATAGGTAGCATTTTGTTTTCCTCTGCAATTCCATCTTAAATTTGGATCTTAATGAGCCAGAAAATTTTCCTTCTGCTTCTGAGAATAAAAAGAGAAGTACCCCCATGCTGAAGATTTTGCTGTTATCAAGCACTGTGTATGAGTGTCCTTAATAGGCAATTGGTCCTGCTTTTCAATTATCAGAAAGAATGCTCAAGAATAACTATCCTAAAGCATAGGCAAGAAAAGAAAAAATAAACTGAATTACCTCAAAATTAAAAACTTTTGTGCATCAAGGGATGCTATCAACAGAGTGAAAAGGCAACCCACAAAATGGGACATAATAATTGTAAATCATGTATTTGATAAAGGGTTAATATATGAGTATTCTTACAACTCAACAATAACAACAAAAACTACCCAATTTAAAAACAGGCAAAGAACTTGAACAGACACTTCTCCAAAGACGATAATCAAATGGCCAATAAGCATGTGAAAAAATGCACATCACTAATCATTAGGGAGATGCAAATCAAAACTACATGCTCACTTCATGCCCACTAGGATAGCCATTATCAAAAAACCCCACAAAAACATAAGATAACAAGTGTCAAAGAAGATGTGGAGGGAAAATAGAACATTTGTATTCTTTTTGGAATGTAAAATGTTAAAGTCACTATGAAAAACAGTATGACCTTTCCTCAAAAAATTAAAAATAAGGGCCAGCCCAGTGGCGCACTCGGTAGAGTGCGGCGCTTGGGAGTGTGGAGGTGCTCCCGCCGAGGGTTCGGATCCCATATAGAGACCGGACCGCTCACTGGTTGAGCGCGGTGCGGGCGCAACACTGAGGGTTGCGATCCAGTTGCCGGTCACGGAAAAGGACAAAAAGGGGAAAAAAATAAATAAATAAAATTAAAAATAAAATTACTATATGATCCAGCAATTCCACTTCTGGGTAAATACCCAAAAAATTAACAGCAGGGACTCAAAGAGATATCTGTACACCCACATTCATAGCAGCATTATTCACAATAGCCAAAAGGAGAAAGCAACCCAAGTGTCCATAACAGATAAACGGATAAACAACATGTGGTGTATCCATACACTAGAATACTATTCAGCCTTAAAAAGGAAGGAAATTCTGACACATGCTACGACACTGTTGAATCTTCAAGACATCATGGCAAGTAAAATACGCCAGTCACAAAAGGACAAATACAGCATGACTCCACTTATATGAAGAACCTAGAGCTGTCAAATTCAGAGAAACAGAAAGTAGAACAGTGGTTGTTAGGGGCTGGGAGGCAGGAGATATGGGGAACTATAATTTAATGGGTACAGGAGTTTCCATTTGGGAAGATAAAGAAAGTTCTAGAGACATATGGTGTTTGGTGATGAGTGAAAAACAATTTGAATTAATGTCACTGAACTGTACAATTAAAAATAGTTAAAACGGTACATTTTGTTATACATATCTTACCATTTCAATCATTTTGGGTAACACATCTATCTATTTATTATGTATGCACCAAATGAATGTTTTCCTCCAATAAAAGAGGAGCATTAGACTTACTTTTTAAAATTAAAAAAAAAAAAAAAAAAACAAAAGGGGGGCCGGCTTCGTGGCATTTTGGGTAACACATCTATCTATTTATTATGTATGCACCAAATGAATGTTTTCCTCCAATAAAAGAGGAGCATTAGACTTACTTTTTAAAATTAAAAAAAAAAAAAAAAAGACAAAAGTGGGGCCGGCTTCGTGGCTCACTTGGAAGAGTGCAGTGCTGGTAGCACCGACAGATCCTATGTAGGGATGGCCGGTGCACTCACTGGCTGAGCGTGGTGCAGACAACACTGTGCCTAGGGTTGCGATCCCCTTACCAGTCAGAAAAAAAAACCCAAAAACTAAAAAACAAAAACTGTCTACCTCAGGTAGTGTTCTAAATTATAAATCAGATTATATTTTCCCCTGCTTAAAATCCTTCACTACCTCATTATCTACACGGTGAAATCCAAGCTCCTCAGTACAATATACACAATATCTCAACCTCATACCCTGGCACTTCTTACATCTCACTATTTACATCAACAATATGCAGTTACCTGTAGTTCTTCAAATACATCAAGTGACTTCAGACTTCTATGACCATACAGGTGGATTTTCCCTTTTCCTAGAACTCTGTCTAACATCTAGTAAATTTTCATTTATTTTTTCCAAAACTCAGCTCAGGGAGCAATGCCAGCACAAAATTCTCAGCCTCCCCCAAATCCCAATAGAGATTTTAGGGAAATACTCTTGCCCAAGTATTGTTCCCTTCTGGGTCTCATATAAATAATTATCTTGCTGTTGTACTAATATTCTACTATATATTTATTTATTTACATATTTGTCTCCTTTAATTAGGCTGAAAGCTCCTTGCAGGAATATACCTTGTCTTAATAATTTCTGTATCATTAAGCACAATTCTTGGCATTTAAGAGATACAGGGAAAAATATTTATTATTAACTGACAAAGAATTATACTGAGATCTGGCTGGTGAATTATGGCAATATGTAATTTTTTAAAATGATAAACATGGCTACTAACCATGGATAGCTCTCTCGAGTCCCCTGGACTGTACTCACTGAGAGAAGAACTACAAAGATTATTCTGATACTTCTGAATAAGTGAGCTCCAACATCAGGGAATCCAGGAATACCTCAAGTGTGATTTTTAACATCTTTTCATAACCAACAAAATAGTAAACTTTAAACAGATTTGGTCTCAAAAAATTAAAATTCAGGGAATTTAATATATACAGATTTATTTTTATTAATTATAAAGTCTTTGACTCTATTTCCCTAATATTTTTGCTGTCATAAATACAGACAAACACACAGACTCAACTCTAGATGTCTCCTGTGCATTTGAATCTTTTCGGACTACAAAATGGGACTAAGAAGATACTAAAGATCAATTATTCAAGTTAGAAAAAGAAGACTGTCAAAAATTATCTCTAATGGTACTACCTCTTGTATGAAACAGAATGGTGAAGATTTTTTCATAACTTACACAAATATATCAACCAAAACAACAAGGCCACATTTGACTTTCCTCTTGTAAGAGTATTCTTCCTTACCTGATGAAGAACTTCCAAAGTAACAGGGTAAAAGAGGTTTTCAATAATTATTCGGAGCACAGGGCTCTGCCCAGGTAGAACTGTGCCTTCACTGGAAGGAGCTCCAGGAAGGGCCAGACTTCCTGACTGGACAGCACTGACAGCCTGCAGTGCAGCTTGGGCTCTCTATAAAACAATCCAAAATGAGAACTTTCAGTTATACAGAAACATTCTATGAATCCTAAAAATTAGTTGACGTAAAACAATAAGAACTAACATAGTTAAATAAAAAAATACATTCTATTCAATCTGGACACACATATCCTAAATTTGTAATCAGTTAGGAGTCACAGATGTGCCTTCTTATCATGATAAGAAAGTGCTTAAATTTACTTAAAGAGATGAAAAAAAGAAAATCTGGATACGATTTTTATTTCCTAATTTAAAAAAGACAACATGAAAACAATATTAAAGACCATGTAAAAATCACTCAAGTCCCTTTTCTTTTTCTCTCTCCTTTTCCTTTCCCTTCTTGAACAATTCAGTTCCATTCTTAAGCCTCTGGGTGGCATAAGATAGGTGTAAATATAGAGGAGGAGAGGAAGTATGGTGGTTCAGAATGGATAAGGATGGCATCCTGGCATGGAATATCAGAGCCAGAGCAAGTTGAGGAGAGTATCCTCAACAGGGCTGCCTGGCAAGGGGAATCTGAATCCAAACAAGGTAGAAAGTATCTATGTGTGGGGGGTAGCCCAGTGTTGAATATTAGAACCTAAGAAGCACGAGAAGGGCATTCAGAGGAAGGGCAGCCTAGCTTGGCATGGCAGAGCTGAAAGAGTTTTAAGAGGGAGGTCTACATGGTGTAGGTGGCCGACATCGTGAAAGACAGCCTGACCAGGAAGAAGAGGTCCACGGGATGGGAACGAGCTGGTATGAAAAGTCAAAGTCTGAATGGGGTAAGGTCATCCAGTGGAGGAACAACCTCACAGGGGTTGTCAGAGCCCAAACAAGGGTAGGCAGACAAGCTTCTAAATATTCTCCACTAAAAGGAACCAGGACACTCTAAAAACTGGCTGGTTCCAGAGCTGGGCAGAGAAAACACAAGATGAGTATAAAACATTTGTGTGTGTGTGTGTGCGTGTGTTTCTGCCAGAATGCAAGGAAGTATTCAAAGAATGATAGAGACATGTCAAATGGATATAGAAGTCAGCTTGGGGCTGGCCTGGTGGCGCACTCGATTGAGTGCAGTGCTCCCGCCAAGGGTTCGGATCCCATATAGAGACTGGTCTGCTCACTGGTTGAGCGCGGTGCGGGCGCAACACCGAGGGTTGCGATCCCGTTGCCGGTCGCGGTACAGGCGCGACACCGAGGGTTGTGATCCCGTTACCAGTCACGAAAAAAGACAAAAAGAAGAAGAAAAAAAAAAAAAAAAGAAGAAGTCAGCTTGAAGGGATTCCCACTGGCAAAATCTGGAACAATTTGAGCATCAAAATAATAATGAATCGGGCCGAGCCCGTGGCGCACTCGGGAGAGTGCGGCGTATTTGCCGTCTTCTCGCTCTTATGAAGGAATTTCATGTTTTGCCATCAAGCATCATGTTTGCCATAGGCCTCTGTAGACACACTTTACTGGGTTCCTTTCTATTCCTAGTTCACTAAGATTTTTTTCTTTTTATAAACAGATACTATTAAATTTTATCTAATGCTTTTTCTGCACCTGTCGCTATGATTGTATGATTTCTCTCCTGTGATCTGTTAATGAATCATTGATTTTTCTTATATAATACCAATATTCCATGCTTGGGATAAACCCAAATTGGTCGTAATGTTTATTTAGACTTTAATTGGATCCTATATAGGGATGACCGGTGCGCTCGCAGTGCTCACTGGCTAAGCACGGTGCGGCCGGTCTCAAAAAGGAAAAAATAAATAAAAATAAAAAATAATGAATCTAACAAACAATAACCTATTAAACAAAAAAGGAAACTTTAAGTCCACACTGATACAAACTGACAGGTTATAAGGAGCAGTATATTTACATTGTCTTAAAGTACCTTCCCACAAAATACTATTCTTCCCCCTTTGTAAACAATAACTTTACAGTAAAGAAGCCTGGCAAACACTAGCCTAATCAAGTGATCAAAGAGCACATCATCGGTAATGAAACAATCTGAAATTATGTACTACCTGATATGATGCAATGAGAAGAAAAGAGCATTACTTCTGTGATGTTCCTGTCAAAGATACATACCTTGAATGGAATTATGAGGAAACAGACTCAAATTGAAGAATATTCTAGAAAATAAATTACCTATAATTTTTAACAGTGTCAACATTATGAAAGTCAAAGAAGACTTAAAAAGACATGACAACTAAATGGAACATATGATTGGGAACTGGATTCTTTTGCCATAAGCAACTGGCAAAACATGAGTGAAGTGTGAGGACTGGAGAGAAGTAATATATCAATGTTAACTTCCTGATATTGACTATATTGTATTCTGGTTGGCAGAAGAATGTCCCTGTTTGTAGGAAATGCACACTAAGTACCGGACAGTGAAGAAAGACCAGGTTAACAGTTTATTCCCAAATGGCCTGAGAAATCAAAACTTCATTCTGTACCTGCAACTTTTTTCTAAGTTTGTGACTGTCTCAAAATCTAGAACAATTACTTAAAAAATAAAGTATGCAAAAGGATGGGGAAATTAAAGGGAAAAAAGCACAGTTAATGATTATTGAAATTAAATGCATGTTTTTATCAATGTTTAGTTCCATAGTCATCTTTTCTTAAGAATGGTGATAATTAGTAAAATACCTGTGCAACAAAATAAAAAATCCAACCACTTCAATGCAGGTACTTTTCATTTTTACATATTGCATTCAGTTGCAATTTTAAAGATGACAGTATTTTGTATGTTATTTTGAATTACTAACATTTTTTTTTTTTTTTTTTTTTTTTTTTCCGTGTCCAGCAACGGATCGCAACCCTCAGTGTCGCGCCCGTACCGGACCGGGACCGGCAACGGGATCGCAACCCTCGGTGCTGCTCCCGCGCCTCGCTCAGCCAGTGAGCGGGAACCGGTCTGTATGTGGGATCCGAACCCTTGGCGGGAGCGCCGCCGCGCTTCCCAAGCGGCGCACTATCGCAGTGCGCCACTGGGCCGGCCCACTAACATTTATTTTGATTAGTTTTCATGATTGTAATTTTTAGTTACTGTCTATTTAATTTTTTATACCATCTGTCTTCTGTGATATTTGAGTTTTCAACATTTTCTATGATAAATAATATTAAAATAAGTGCCTTTCCAAAAACTAGCCATCTTTTACTTTTTGTATGCTTATTTTAACTTCCACATTTATGTCTGTATACATCCTTTTAAAAACTACTTGTATATAATCCCTCTACTAGCATTTTTATAACATATACAGATTTTTTTGGCAGCTGGCTGGTATGGGGACCTGAATCCTTGCCCTTAGTGTTACAACAGCACACTCTAACCACATACCCAGATTTTTATGTATCGGATATTATATAAACTGCCGAAAGTTTGGTTTCCAAAGTAGCACCATCTTTAAGAACAATATAAGAATAATTTTTTGATTACTTTTTATAACTAATTCTCTAAACTATGCTCTTGACAGCCAAGTATGTGGGACACTGGGCACCGCAATCCTGCTTCAAACATGGCAGTTTATCTCATCCATTTTACACTGGGCTCCCCAGTAAGATTTTATTGGGGAAAAAAGGGTGCTACTGCTTTTAAAAGTTTGAAAACTGATTCAGACATATACTTTGAGCCTATAACCGGTAAAAGGGAAATCAATCCATTAGCAAAGATGTTAAATTACTTATTATAACTGTATTCCACACACTCAAAAAATCAAGTAGAGAAATGAAAGATATAAAACAGTTCTGTCCAACAAAATTTCCTGTGATGATGGAAATGTTTGGTATCCACACAGTCCACTACAGTAGATAGTAGCCACATGTGGCTAGTGAGCACCTGAAATGTGGCTTCTGCAACTGAGAAAATAAATTTTTAATTTTAATTATTTTAATTAATTTAAGTTTAGCCACATGTAGCTAGTAGCTACTGTATCAAATGCCATAGCTCTACAATATCTAGAAGACATCATCATACATAGTGAGGTTTTAAGTGTAATAATTGTTCCTATTCCTTTTAGATTGAAATGATTAAATCTTACCAAAACTAAGTAAACCAAAAGTAAATGTACAATGAAAAGTAAATTTAACCTCGCTGACCTCTTTACTTCATTATGCCATCAATCATTCCATCAATAATTTTTATTAAACAACTGTATATAAGTGCTTTGCTGGTGGTACTGTTGCTGTTGTTATTGTTGTGCTCCTCTTCTTTCACCCCCTCTTTGGCATAAGGGATACCACAAGGGAAAAATTAAGGAGCTGTGGTTGTGGTATATACTGTCCTAATCATTAGAGAATTTTCAATATATTCTGCATTGACACTTCACAGAACATTAAACACAAAGCTCTCTACATAGCAGGCATGTAAGGAATGTTTTTGACAATAAAAATCTGAGAAAATAACACCTGGGGAAAAAGGTAGATTTCTAAGTAACTCTAGATTTCTAAGTAACTCTATAGTTTCAGTTGTTGTTGTTTGTTTATTATTTATTTATTTATTTATTTAATTTTAATTTTTATTTTTTTAAAGATGACCGGTAAGGGGATCTTAACCGCTGACTTGGTGTTGTCAGCACCACGCTCACCCAATGAGCCAACTGGCCATCCCTATATGGGATCCGAACCCATGGCTTTGGTGTTATCAACATCACACTCTGAGTGGGCCATGGGCCGGCTCCAGTTGTTATTATTTTTTAAAAATCTATTTATTTTTCACAGCTGGCCAGTACACGAGTCAGAAGCCTTGATCTTGGTGTTGCAACACCACACTCTAACCAACTGAGCTAACCGGCCAGCCTTCAGTTTTTAATTAGGCAAATATATTTAAGTAAAAAAGCGAGAAATGTCTTAATATGAAAGTATGTCTGGTACTAAAAATTATGAGAAAGCAGAACTCCTATTATGGGAAAAAAATTTTAAATGTTTGGACAACAAACTCTCTGGATATGGTTACATTAACTATTAATAAAGGAACTAATAGCAGTAGCATAATTGAAAAAGCAACAAATATTTTATTAAGGTAGGATAGGGAGATATACTTCATGCAAAATTTAAACGTCCCTGGATAATGTGAAGATGACATTTCTAATATTGAGAATATGAAAATTAATACACAATAAAAACACAGATCTTAAGTGTTCAGTTTGATGATTTTTTTTTTTTTTTTTTAAAGATGACCGGTAAGGGGATCTCAACCCTTGGCTTGGTGTTGTCAGCACCACGCTCAGCCAGTGAGCAAACCGGCCATCCTTATATAGGATCCGAACCCGTGGCCTTGGTGTTATCAGCACCGCACTCTACCGAGTGAGCCACGGGCCGGCCCAGTTTGATGATTTTTTAAGGAACTTTTTAAGGAAAAATCCTCCCATGGTCATCTCTGCAGATTTATAAAATTCCACACACAAGGTCAAGAAAAACTGTATACAATAATGACTGCCATTAACCATTTCTCAAATGCTATTACCTCAGAATATGATCCAAATTTTGTAGTTATAATTTTAGCTGAAATCAAGGAGACAAAAATACTAGATATTCACCAAACATTTTGGCAAGTATGTCCATAAGCTGGAAAAGTAATGTGCATGTTTTGGGATATCTTACTATTCAGAGAACAAAACACTAATCTACCAGCTACCTGGGTCTGTTAAAATAAAAAGACATATGGTACTTTCTATGTATGCAAACAGGTACCCTCAATGACTTCAGGTTTGGTGTAGGACTTCGAATAAAAGAAATTTTTTAAAAATCAAATATCAATGCATAAAAATTGCACAAAAGTAACAAAATGAAAAGGGTACTGAGAAGAAATCAAGGATATCTAAGAATAAACTAGGTCATCTGGGCTGTCTCTGGTTGCCAAGCAACAGGGATTTCTCACTATTTCCCTTTGGAATAATCCAGTCTTTAAGACTTTTATTAAATTGTTTTTTTTTTTCTTTTTCAAGATTTATACTAACATACTAAAGAAGCACACTAGAGAAAACTGTAGAACTTACATGAAGGAAAATGAAAAATTCTACTGAAAGATGTAAAAGAATACAAAAAATATATAACTTCCTCCTCTAAAGGATCAGAGAGCAATATACATATGTTAATTATCCCCAAATTAAGCTATGAAAATCAACCCAGTTCCAATCATGTTTTTTGGGGGCAGGAGTTGCCAAAATAATTCTAAAATATAGCTGAAGAAATAAACAAGAAATATTAACCAGGAGGGTGGGGGGATGGGGAGAGGTTGGTCAATTGATACAATACTGCAGAGATAGGAAGAACAAGATTTAGTGTTCTACAGCAATACGGGGAGACTAAAGTCAACAACAAATTACTGTATAACTTCAAGTAGCTAATTGAAAAGATGCTGAATGTTCCCAACACAAAGAGGTGACAAATGTTTAAGGTGATAGATATATGAAATACCCTGATATGATCATTGCACACTGTACAAATGTACCCAAATATTACATTGTACTCCATAAATATATACAATTATCATGGGTCAATAAGTAAAAATAAAATTTTTTTCCAAATATTTCAGACAGAAGTAGATTAGAGGTTACCAGAAACTATGGGGAAAGAATAATGAGAAGTTATTGCTTAATGGGAACAAAACTTATGTTTAGGATGATGAAGAAGTTTTGGAAATAGATAAGAGATAGTGGTCATACAGCACTGTGAATGTAATGAATTCAATGCAATTGTACATTTACAAATGCTTAAAATGGTAATCTTTAGGTTATATATGTTTTACCACAATAAAAACAAATATTAATCTGTTAATTTCTGAAAAGAGAAAGTAATGAATAGGACCATGCCCTACAATATCTTAAGCTATAGGGCGCACTGAATCACAAATGGAACAGAATGGAACCCAAAAAGCCAGTCCAGGTTAGACATGGAGTGTATACAATGTGAGCAGCACACACATAAGGGCAGATCACAAGCCATGCAAAATTAGAATATGATAAAGGACAAGTTTCACAACAGTGGATAATAAATGGTTTATTCAAAAAATAATGGAGGAGAAATTGGTCTCTTGGAATAAAAAAGATCAAAGCCCTATCCTCATTCCCCATATCCAAAATATTTCTAATAAAACAAAGATTTAAACATCAAAATAAAAATAACCAAAACAAAAAAATATTAGAAGAAAATGTAAGTAGATTTTTTTCTTAATCTTGGTCTGCTAGGTCTTTCTAAGTATGGTACCAAAGTTAGAAAAGACTGTATTATAGCAATCTTAAGAGATATGACTATATGTATAAAAATATTTTAAAAACTGCATTAGCAGAAAAATTCACAGAGACTAACAGTAGAATGATAATTGCCAGAGGCTAGAGGGAGGAGGGAATGAGGACTTATTGTGGGTAGAAAGCTTCAGTTTGGGATGCTGAAAAAAGTACGGAGATGGTTAGTGGTGGTGACGTACAACAATGTGAATACACGTAAATGCCACTAAACTGTATAGTTAAAAACAGTTAAACAATAAATTTCATATTATGTATATTTGACCACAATTTAAAAATGGGGAAAAAAAGCATTAACAGAAATCATTATAAATAAGTACTTTACAAATTATCAAATAAAAGTAAATAAGATGTAATTTCTCACCTATCATATTAGCAAAGATACACAGGAAAACTGCTTACCCTAAATCAGCATGTAAATCCTTACAGAAAGCAATCATGCAGCACATATCAGAATAAAAAATATGAATATGCTTGCATAGGACAACTTAACTGCCAGAAATGTAACCTAGTAAGATAACGTTGCAAGTGTGCTAAAATATATGTTGTTGCAGTACTTTTTCTAAGGCAGAATGGATAAATTACGGCTCTCCTTTACAAGAGAATATCACGCTATTAAAAATTATGAAGTAACTGTATTTGTTGTCATGTCTCCATGTTTGTTGTCATGAAACCATGTTTATAAGATGTGATAGAGAAAAAAGATTTCAAAACACCGGGATTCTGTTTGTGTAAAATGAGATACATAAATACCTAAATAGAAAAGGGGTACTGCAAACAAAATGATAGCACCAGATATTAGATATCTCTGGGTAACTGATTTTTTTTTTTCTTTACTTCTCTGGGTTGTTTGAATGTTTTACCATGAGCATGTATACTATTTATAATTTACAAGGCAATTTTTCATTTTAAAAAGTCTATTCTATTTGAAAATATCTAATATTGCATTTATTCTAAGTTTATATAGTTTATTATAAACTGTTAATACATCTTAGAACAAGTTAAGGATTACGTGCAGGAAATGTCGCTGTTTTAAAACAACGTGGAAAACTATAATTTAATCTCAGCAGCTTGCATTATAATGCTTTTCACCACAGAATCAGACAGCTTTAGGAGTTCTTTACCTAGAGCAAGAATACAGGGGGTAAACATGCTCTTAACATAAAAAAAAAAACCACTTTCTTAAAATACACTTGCTTTGTGGAGAAAGTTTTTCTATTCTTAAGTAACTTCAAATTACTATTTTAACTACTTAAAAATGAACCTGAAAAGATACAAAAGACTCAACATAAATTATATCAAAGTAAAAAGAGGAAAATGAGGTAAGAAATGCTGATACGCTATGTTCTAGTTATCTTGAGGAGTCAAAAATCATTTAACAAACAATTCTAAACAAATTCCTATTAAGTTCAGTTACTTAACATCATAATATAAGTATCGCTTAACTTCTTAAACTTTGCTATATATTCTTTAAAAAGAAGGGACTGAAGTGAATGACATAATTTCCTTTTAGATCTGAGATTTTAAGAGGTATGTAATAATACAGATTTTTATATTTTATTTTTTATTGTGAAAAGTTTCAAAGGAAATAATAAATATGTGTCACTTCTAAATGGCACTGTTTTCTTACTCTTAAGCTTTAGGAGAAGAATTTACATACACAATCCTGACTAATACAGTATCCTAAAATTAAGAAAAGCACATTATCTTTCTTCCTCTGTAAAGTACAGAAAATTAATTTTAAGTTATTATACCATGTGTACTTATACTTATTTTTAAAAATGTCTTTAATACTTACAGCTTGATTAGGAAGATTGTCAGTCTTAAGTTCTCTGTGATTGGAATACTGAATAAAAACAGGCTGGCTTCGAAGGTGAGGAGTAAAAGGAGTATAATAATTCACCATAGTAACAGCAGCTTCCTCAGACGCCATTTCTAAGAAAGCCTGCAATAAACACAAGGTGAAGTGAAAGCTCATCTTTCTGAAAGACAGTTAAAAACTGTGATCCTAAGCTTGCACTTAAACTCATGCATTCTCAACAGAAATGATATTGCCCCCAAGAGGATGAAAAAACTTCTGCTTCAAAGTATATCATGGATGTTAATTAAAAACATATTTGAAAAGCTGGGTTCAGGGCCAGCCTGTGGCTCACTTAAGAGAGTGTGGTGCTGATAACACCAAGGTCCCGGGTCTGGATCCCTATATAGGGATGGCTGGTTAGCTTGCTTGGGAGAGCGTGGTGCTGACAACACCAAGTCAAGGGTTAAGATCCCCTTAACGGTCATCTTTTTTTTTTTAAAAAAAAAAAAAAGAAAGAAAGAAAGAAAGAGAAGTTGGGTTCAATAAAGGACTTGGGATTGGGAAACTGCCAGTTGACTGAATAATTTTATGTGGTTTTTGGTTTTCTTCTTATTAATGTTTCTTCTAAAACCTAGAAATAATTATAAAGGCAAAAAATAAATATGTAGATCAACATTGTAAATGGATGCTTTCAGAGGCTGGGATTTTATAGTTCTTTCATTAAAAATCTTGGGGTTATGAGGTTACGATACATAAACAGAGATACTAAAATTTCATGGGGAAATTAGGGGGTTAAATAAAAGTCTAAAAAAGCCTCTTTAAAGGAGCAAAAAGAAAAAAAAGGTTGAGAAACACTGCTCTAACTATCCAGATTCTTCAACAGGGATGGGGCATAATGATTTGTTCTCCCTTACCTTTTCATAAAACAGCCATTTATAAATAAAATTAAATAGAACATTCATTTTTTTTTCAGTAAGAGTTTTATCTCATACTTTGCCAATAAAAAACCAACATACTGGGCCAGCCCATGGCTCACTTGGGAGAGTGTGGTGCTGACAACACCAAGTCAAGGGTTAAGATCCCCTTACCAGTCATCTTTAAAAAAACCCAACATATCTCACCAGCAGAGAATGAGAATCATCATAGATAGTGGAAAAGGAACTAGATTAAAAGCTATATCTAGCTCTAACACCTTGGTCAAAATCTCTTGAGACTTAGTTCCCTCATCTAAAACATGAAGCACTGCCTAATATGATCTTTAAGTCTCTGTCTTGAGTTGAATGTCCTCCCAAAACTTAACTTCCACTGTTAATGGTTGAAGATGGGAAATCCTATTATGGTAATTGAAAGGTGGGGCTTTGAAGTGATGATTAGGTTGTAGGACCATGCTGTAGTGAATGGATTCATAATGGTGGTCAGGGGTATTG